CTGACATTTTAAACGGCCAAGTTGGTTAAATATGCAGCAGAGGAAGTGGCTTACTTCTAAGCGCTGACTTAAAAGTGATTATTCAAAGTTTAGAGAGGTTTATTTTTGGCCCTCTAGCGCAGAATGTTGATACATTTTCCACGTTTGCTTAAGCTCGCATTGCTACTTCGTGATAATTTGTGCTTTGCACTCCACCTGTGGGGGCGCTGCACCCAGGGGCATCGCATTCGCCGCTGCTGCCGCCGCCACTGCTGCAGATTGCAGGCTGAGTGACGCGAACGAGGGTCTCGGCCACTTGACGCACACGATTGGCCACCGACGGAACTTTAAAAATCGAAGGCCGAGAGGGTGGATGTCAGACGGTGCAATCGCAAGACGCATCCATTTGGAAAGATAAGACGCCTGTTACCTCTAAGGTAGTCCCGCCAATGGCAATCACATCACCAATCGCATAAGTCATAATAAGAGACTCCTCAATGAGTAGAAAATATGGGTAAAGATGCTGGACAGATGCATGTCGTAAAACACTTTCTCATCTCTACTAAACGTTGCAAGCTTAACCAAGATTTGGAGCAGCAGGCATTTTCACTGTAAATCCCATCTGACCTGACTTCCAAAACAAAGGCCTTTGAATGCTCCCCACATCTTTGTCGCATCGTGAGTAAATAGGAGTTTTCTTTTACTATAAACACTTTTGCTAACCGTAAAATAGTTTTGTCACTTGACATAGCCGCAGCGAAACAAGACCCAAAGATAATGTAGCTTTGGCAGAATAGCATCATCTCTCTTCTATCAAATAGTCTGTTAAATGTGCAACTTTAAGTTCATTCCAAAATTGCCATCATATTTTAATGCAGGGCTCTGAAGAGTGCTTTTAGCGATGTCTAAAACACGGAAGTTTGTGGGTCCACGGCCCTCTTTGCAGTCTACTCCTTTCAGTTTGAAGGCGGACGCCTGTGTAATTCTTCGTAAAAATGAATTTATCATATGAAGGCTGAACTGCAGTAAATGGAGATTTCCAGTTTAAGTGTCATTAACCAGATATTTCGATTTGCACTGTCAAGTCCGTACAGACGTCTGTACTCTTTGGGTGCACCAGAGAAGAAAGGCTATTAATTCGTTGAAACTCAAAAGGGACTCCTTAAAACATTTTTTAGAAATTAAAGGCACAAGCTATGAACAAAAAGGTCGATTTCAGATGTTCAGATGTTCATCTTTATGTGGAAGTTATTAAGTGGATCCAGTGAAACTGATTTTATTCATTACTTGGCTATAAAAAGCAGACGATTCGAAGTTTTGTAGTCTACGTCTAGCCATTTGGTATGAGGTTATTTTTTGTACATCTGAAGCCTACCTGAGCAGCGAATGAAGATGTAGGATGATCCATAAAAAGCCACATTCTGTAGCGCCATTTCTTCCATCCACGAGAAAACTTGACCAAATTTTGCATAGAATCAATATCCTCAAAACAATCTCGAAAGAGTGTTTTCTTGGTCCTCTTCTCCTCATCGTACCGCATGTAGGCGGGCATACAACACGGGTCAATCAGAGACTCGTCAATGCCCCAAAAAATCAGCTCCTTTCTAACAAATGGGCCGCAAATGTTTGTCGGTAAATGTAGTTCTCCAGTGCGGTAATAGTCCAGTACAAATCGAAAGATTTCAGGATCTCGATCGAAGAAGTACACGGGCTGGGGAGCAACGCCTGTTTTGTCCTGTGAAAGAGGACCAGGATATGAGTGGTTACCATCCATCAAACGGGTGGAGTGGCTCTCGGTTGGCGACGTATTGTAGAGTTGGTTTTTGCAGACAGCAGCGGCTGATATCAGCTCCTTATTGCCAAATAGGGAAGAAGCAACAGGGTTCGGAAGTAATGTAGCACCACCAACAGTGTATTCACCGGTGTACTGACTGTCTGAGGACAGTTGGGAGCGGTATTCGTGTTTCTGTGAGGCGGCCCGAGCAGCCTCCTCGCCTTGTGTCGCGATCATGTAGAGGCGACTGTCCGGAAGGCGGTAGAGCGTTGCACGCCGTGTAATGAACAGACGTCCGCCAATACAGAGATTGACCACATCGCCGGGTGTTCCTGGGCGAATGTAGGCAGACGCGGCAGATGAGTGGTTTTGCATTATCCCTATAAAAGTCGATGTTTTTAACACGATAACCAATCCGGCCCAAAATTACTTTTTATAAAATAGGGATTGGAAGTGGTACAATCTCACAACTTCTGGCTACTGATGGAGTGTGTTAATTTTCAAATGCCATGCTTGTCTCAGCGGTTTGATGCGTTGCCAGTAGATAAATTAAATATACGTGTGCATCGTATAGGGCATTTCAACGAGTTT